ACTGACTTTACAAACCTCAACAATATAAACATATGGTTGTCCATTTTCTTCTTTTCATTTATTCTGTTAGGTAAACGTCTCTTGAAAGTGTGATGCAGGCTATTTAAATGAAAAAATAAAGTCCATGAAACAATTTAATTTACAGATAAAACACACAAGTAAACCCTTTTGAGTCTTAACTGTAAATTAAATTGTCCACGTCGCCAAACTCCTTACAGGTTGGTGGCGGTAATGCACCGTTTTCCAACAGCCGTTTAACTGAAGAAGAAGAAGACACTTCCGGTATTACATTGGCGGGATAACACAAACGAGGTCCTTCTCGGATAACGCGACGTGTTTGATTCAAAGCCAAGCGGCTCTACGATTTTCAGTAAGTTGCTGCTTCACATATTTAGTTCTAATTATTTTTGACCAAGCATGTGGTTAGAGCGTAAAATATGTAGTTTTACCGGTGTGTTACTCGACCTTTTACAACATGGCGTTGTCAGCGTCACGTCAAGTTGAGGCTGTTTGAAAAGTTGTACTGAGCAGAATAAAATGGACACTCATACAGGGGGAATGGGAGACATCTATAACCAGTGGCTGCTGACCACTGTTGGGCAACTCCTCAGTGAGAGGTGTCTATTTGCTTTTCTAAAAGCTGTTTTATGATGTCATTGTCTAAGTTACATATTTGGATATTTTCTAATATAATTGTGATCTAGGCTGGAAGTAATCAATGTTGGACAAAAAATGACCACTAAATATGTTTAGAACTACAAATCAACTTAGAATACTTTCCTGGATTTTCCTGCAAAACACCGTTCAAGTTATCAAGTCAATGAACTGTTGGTGTGTGGCATTGTGACTTAACATACTGTTATATAATTTAAATAATATTATAATGCAACGCCACATAACTGAATCTTTGTCTTGTAGCACCCAAGATGCAGCTCCACATCACGCAGCACAGAGTGGGCAGGTAAGAGTACTCATTGACTGAATATTATTATAATTATATAATGAAGAGTATGAGTCTGGTGAAGACCTGCTGTATATGAAAAGTGTCTTGAGATGTTAAATGATTCAACCCTTTAATGAAACTGGCCTGAATTGATCATAAGGCTTTGTAAAAAGGGGAGATTTGTTCTGAGTTATGACAATTTTTAAAATGTGATTGTGTCAGGAGCAGAGCCAGTAGTGATGAGGGGATTGTTCCTGTCAGTATAAAGGAACAGGTGAGCTGTTGTAACTGTGTGTGAACAAGTATTAGTTCCAATATAAACACTTTCTAAACGACAGTAGTGACTCGTTATATTTTTATCATTAAAAGTAAGACAATAAATACAGAAAGCCTGCAATGAAAGTATGAAAGTAATATGAAATGAGCCTGCATATTTTGCCATTGAAAATATATTAATTGGTTAAGTCAAAATGAGTTTTCCTTATCAAATATACTAAAGCTTTACAGATTATTGTCCTGATGCAGGCTCAATAAATTAATTCCTCTGGACAGATTCTTCTTTGTATCAAAAAGATTTCTTCAGTCTGAGGAGCTGAGACAAACTCAGTCATCGTTCCTCCTTGATAGAGAGGAACGATGACTGAGAGAGGAGTAAAGGAGGCCATCTTTGTGAAAAGAAACCGTCCATCATTAAACAGAGGTGGAGGCCTCCGGGTTCAACTGTCCCCCTCTTACAATGCTGTTATTGCTAGTATCTTACGTTCACATAAAATATTTGATAATGTTCTTATAGAAACAATTCTTGAATAATGTTCACACTGTGTTAATGCTGCATGTTTGACTCAGGGTGCTTCTTGTTCTGCCATTAACTCTAAAATACTTATTGAATAGTTTACATATGTAGGTAAAACTAGATGTTAAATACACCAGAATGCAGGAAATGGCATCTATTTTATTCAAAATTTTCTGGGGGAGGACCCCCAATGGCTACCAAGCCAAGAGCCATTGTTAGCACTGAGGTTAAGCTAAAACTAAACTAGCTAAAAATAAAAAATAAATCCTAGAGGAAACAGAATTAGAATTAGAATGCAAAATGTATCTGATTTGCTTTAGTCTCACATTACATCATTGTAGATGTGTGAAACTATAGTTTCTGGCAATGCAGAAGAAGTAAAACTTTTAATTAAATTCTGGGTCCTCGTGTAAAGATGTGTTAAAGCGCCATCTATTGGTAGATATGAGTTACTAAAAATATTCAATATGGGAAGATTAAAAAAAAGGTTTTTGGAACATCCGTAAACTTTTTGTTTGAGAATCTAAGAATTGAGATATGGATGCATTTGCTTTTTGTTATGATTACATTTTAAAAAGTGCTCTTATTGACCTTGTGTTTTCTGTGTTTTCTGTTGAAGCTTTTGAATTCACGGCAGTCTGTTGGTCGCTCCATTTTAAATGATGAAGAATGAGGGGGTGCCAACATGCCTATGAGTACGAGACCGACACGAAGACAAAGACACATGGAAAGTTTATCCACCTGAATGGGAGAGCAGCAAAACTAGGACATTTTAGACAGATGCCAGTACAAACTTGCTGAGCTTCAAACAAAGCCCTGCAGAATGGATGGCTACATTGCAGAGTGCCCAGTGGGAAATGCAACCTGAGGCAGCCTCCAAGAGGCACCAACAACTATTTTTTTTTACAAATGAAACCGTAGGTTGTATTTTTTACAAATTAAACCGTAGGGTTTTTTTTTTGTGTGTGTGTGTGTGTTTTAATAAAAAAAGAAAATCTTTAAGAAAGTCATGGTCAGTGTTTTCATGTCTATGATATGTTTGCATTAGTATGTGTTATGAAGATACAAACCACTGTGTATTTACTAGACTGCTTCATAAACTGTTTATTATACTGATTTTTCATAGTTCTTATTGAAATGGTAATGTGCTTACTGGTCCAGCTTGTGATTTGTACATCATGATGATGGTACATAAACCAAAATTAAAGACTCATTAATTTTGATGTAAAAAACTGGGTGATCTTAAAATGTTAAAGATCTTAGAAGCCAACTATTTGTAGCCTATAGCAGATTTAAATAGTTATATAAAGCACTTCACGTATTACAAATAAAAACTAAATGGAGTGCAAGACAAAAAAACAACAACTAACCATTGGAAACATGTTAAGATATAGTTATTTTACTTGAAGGCTTACCTACATGCCAAACCTGTATTTACAGGCAGAGTATATCAGATTCCCAAATTTGCATAAATGAAAAATCTAAATATCCGACTGACATCTGCCACGTAATACGCCAAAGATGCGGCAAGTATGCAAAAGGATCTGAAGCTGGAACTCCGAGGGATCGCATACTTCAGGATCCTTCGCAGATAAACATCTGTAAATATCCGACAGACATCTGTCACGTATATGCATGAATCTAAAGCAACCATACGTCAAAAATGCAGCAAGTATGCAACGAGATCTGAAGCTGGAACTCCGAGGGATCACATACACACATTTTTCAGGATCCTTCGCAGATAAAAATCTGTAAATATCCGACAGACATC